CCCCAAAACCCCAAAACCCCAAAACCCCAAAACCCCAAAACCCCTATCAAATGTTTTATAGTTGAGATTTCTAGTTATTGAGACTTAATGTAGGGTTATTCGCTCCCTTGGGTGAGTAGCTCGAGTGTTTGCTTGATCTGTACATCCCATTTAGCAAGTTTTTCACTCATTATCTTGATCTTGTCTCTTGGCAGCATCCTAGGTTTGACCCAAGAGACTCTTACTATCTGGTCAACTTGGTCGATAGTCCCCCTGACAAGCCCCAAACTCATTGATTTCATCACAAGGAGTTCTACATCTTCAACCCTGAGCCTTGTGATATCAGCTATTAATTCAAAATCAAGATTTCTATCTCCTTTCTCTCTATGGAAAATGAGGTCAAGGAAGGCCAAAATTTTAATTTTCTGCTCAAGCTGGTTTTGGTTCTTGACAAGTTCCTCAGAGGAATTAATCTTGTCTTCATATTTCCTAAGGCATTCCTCAAATTCATCAATATTAGCAGTATTTAGAGCCTTAAGGATGTCATAGAGCCATTCATAATCAGTATTGATCAAAGATTTTAGAATCTCTTTTTCCAAAAGCTCGGCGATGTTATAAATGTCCTTGCCCAGAAGAATAGCCTTGCCCATGTTAATGCACCATTCATGCTTCTCCTGCTCTGTGAGTTCTTCGGCAGGGGTATATGCCAAGAACTGGAGTCCATTTTGGTAAAATTCTGTGTACTTCTCTTTCCTTCTGTAATACAGAGCTAATGTTTTGTATAACTCAGAGTAGACAATCTGGTCAATATCATTCTGAGCCTTCAACTGGCCTTCAACTTCTTCTAACAAATCAAAGCATTCATTGTATTGGCCAAGAGCAAGTCTTTTCTCGGCAATGCTGACTTTCAGGAATAGCTGAGCACCGATTGAATCCTTAACTTTCTCTTCCAAGTTGCTTAAGAAGGTGATTGCTTCTTCAATGTCTAAATTTATAAAGGATTCTAGCTTACTTTGGAACTGACGACTACAGTTGACAGCAATTCTGATGTACTTCAGCTCATTAATTTTGGTATCAAGCTTGATTACAAAATCATTGAAGAAGGTCACAAGGTCCCCTCCCTGGTCAAACTCAGCATCAGAGGTAAGGTTATACAACTGATCTGTAATAATATGCCACATTGACTCTTTATAGTTGTTCTTAATGTCTTCAAGCTGGGATGAAACTGTTGGGTGCTCAAGACTTAGCTTGTCGAGCATCTCGACTATATTTGAGGAAATCATCTTTAATTCAAGAATTTAATTTTATAGAATTTGGTCGAGATTTTCAACTTTTATAAATCAAGAGGGGTTTTGGGGTTTTGGGGTTTTGGGGTTTTGGGG